TGGTGTCTTTTGCGCGGCTATCAGTTACCATTTTTTAGTTTTTGCAATAAGAAATTTTAACGTAAAAAAATTAAATCAATCATGTTAATTGACTTTCTTCCCTTTTAAAGCAAACTCTACGTAAGCACATTATAAGATTGTGCAGTTGATAAAAGAGTGGGACCGTATTCAAAGAGCTGCTACCTATAGACAGAAGTAATATAAACGTGTGGAATGAGTACAAACGGCTCCGCAATAAGGTTACGCGCTACTTGAACAAACGAAAATCTGATTATTTAGTGGACTATATTGGTGATTCCAAAATGATTTGGGCTTGCATTTCACAACTTCTTTCGGGGGCTAATGCATCAGAGCCAATTAATATAACTGTTGACAATTATGTTTTTGAATCGGCATCCGAAACTGACCAACGTTTTAATGCTTTTTGGTCTCATTTTCCCCAGAAAGTAACAGAGCATCTTCCCGCTTGCAATCTTGAAGAGGTTTCAGGCAAAACTCACAATTTACAACTTTCTTTCACTCTCAAACCTGTGTCAAAATTACTTTTTTCCAATGATATTAAGAAAATGGAAGTCAAGAAGGCCACAGGTGACGATGAGATTATCTGTCCTTTACTTAAAACTGCTAAACCTGCCATAGCTAGTTGATTGGCTGTGTTCTTGTCAACATGTCCGTAAGTAATGGTTGTGTGCAAAAGTGTTGGAAGAGTGCAAAGTTCCTTCCTCTCTTCAAGTCTGGCAATAAATTTAATGTCGAAAATTACCGCCCAATCCCAATCTTACTAGTCGCAAACGGGCTGTTTATGATTGATTATACTGTTATCTTTCTGAAAATGATATTCTTCATCCGAATTAATCTAACTTAAGGCCTGCACACTCTACTGTGAATGAAATTGCTAAGTCAGTTAATCTTTGGTCCAAGAATCTTAATGATGGCAAATTAACAGGTGACGTGTCGCTTTTATAGATCTTATGAAAGCCTTTGACACAATCAATCACTCCGTTCTCTGAAAGACATTGAAACTCAGTGGTTGCTCTAATGCCACAGTGTACATCGGAGTGTATTCAGGTACTTGGAAGGTGTCAATGGAAGTGCCTCCAAGTTCTATTTTAAGGCCATTGTTGTTCTCAATTTATGAAAATGAATGCCCCCATCAATAAGCAACGATGTAATACATTGTTAAAAATTGTGTTGTGCTACAATGCGTTTTCTGTCAAATGTATCAAAAATTAACAGAGAATCTTTGTAACGGAAGCACTTTGTGACTGCAGTGATTTTTTGCGTTACAACATAATCCCGTAAAAACTTTCTAAATTCACAATTTCCTCTTTAACATGAATTAACATCAATTTGCATATTGCGTTTGGTGCACAAAACCACTTTCTAAAGCCGGTTTCGCCATTTTTCTCGTGTTTCCCGTTATTGCGAGTAACAGGCAATGTTTTTGTGGAGAGAATTTTATTTTAAGTAATCTTGCGTGCCAAAAAATGAGAACTGCTAAAACAAATGTGTTTTTAACCTGCCATTAACTGTGAGTAAATTTGAAACAAAAATCGATACACATATAAGCAAGCTGCGCGCCATTATAGATCAGTCTAGGAGCAACTGTGATTACACTGCGGCTATCAGGTGAGGAACTATGTCCTGACACATTAAATAAAAACAAACGTGTCATTGTCATCACCGACGAAAAACGTAGGTTTTTAACCCCTCAATCTTGTAGCGGCCCCCTTCAACCTCTTCTACGTTGCTTCAACAAATATAGTTGTTTTAGTCAGAAAATAATGTCTTCGTAAATCCACAGTAAAAGTCTGTTCATTTACAAAATGAGCCTCTGAACCCTCCAAGCAGAATCCGCCCTCTAAAGCATACCCTTCCTCCATATGTGGTGATTGTAGTCGCCCTGCAGGTCAGTTCCCGGTCATGCCTGAACCTAAACGACTGTTTCTTGGTAACTAATGCATCCCTGAGGTCCCCTCTGACTACGTACATTCCTTTTTCTTTTCTTTTCTTTTTTTCTTTTTTCTTTTCTTTTTTTTTTTTTTTTTGCTGTGGAAGTGTAGGTAATACCAGGTCACAACCCAAACAGCCGACCAGTTAGCACATGTCTGTCAACATCCAGTTCCTGATAGCGACCATAAGGGCTCCTTGGTGACTGATCTTTCAAGAAGTCGGCAGCGGTTGGGGTCCAGCCAATGGGAGTTTACAGGCTTGTGGTGTATGCCAAAACCTTTGCCAAGTTGGCCCACTGGAAAAAAAGTGCTGACCATATTTGGTGAAATCTATCGATCTTTTTTTAACCCCGTGCCGTTGACACCTGGGTTAAAAAAACAAGGATACTACCCAAATAGCATCTGCCTATGCATGTACATGTACAATATGTGCTAAGCGCCATGGGGCCTTTCGCTTAAGTTTTATCAACTGAAGTTTGCACTCTATCTCCTCCCGTGCATCAAGTTGTGGTGCCACGGCCCACAATCTCCCTCCTATTTCATAAAAGTGCAATATGCAAAAGTGTGGCTTCTGGCTAGCGCCCCCGGGCCCCGAACAGACATATTGACAAATAAGAAGTTCCACCAACGTATAGGGCTGGGTAGCTCAGTTGGTAGAGCGCTGGTACGGTATTCCAAAGGCCGCAGGTTCAAATCCCCCTCTAGTCAAGTTCAATCTTTGTTAATTCATCTTTATAATCATTCATGAGCACCTAGTCATGACAGCCTGAGTTTCCCTATATGATCTATTTCAATATACAACAGTGATAGATACCAAATTTCAAAAAAAATGATAATAACCGGGAAAACTACAAGTTTCTCAGGTGTTTTAGGCACACATCAGAATTCATCTCCTAAACTGATGACTTTCGAGACATTTTAAACCAGAGATGATCACCACCTAAAAAGTGGCAAAACCCATTGCTATTGTGAAAAATTGATGTGCACGCTCTACTGCAAAATAATTTGTCATTTATTCATTTCTT